GCGCCGGGGCGGCCGCGCAGGTGCCGGAGGGCCTCCGCCGCGCGCGGCCGGGCCGCGGGCTCGGGCGCCAGCAGCCAGCAGACGTGCGGGTCGGGCGAGGGCGGGCTGCTCGGCGAGCGCGCTGCACGACTCGCAGGGCGGCCGCTCGCAAGTGGCCCGGGCCCGCCGCGGGGGATGCACGATCCATATTCCAGAAGGGAAGGCACGCTTTGTTGTTCTGGACGTTTGCGAGCAGGTATTTTGCGAGTAGTGGAGCGCGCCCGGTGAGCCACAGTCGACCCGCATAGTATGAGGACGAGCAACTGTCCAAGGCTGCCCTGGCATCCTGGCCCCTCTTCGGCCCATCCTGATAGCGACTTTCGCGGGCCAGCCTCGTTCGAAAGACGTCAGCATGGCCCTCCAAGGCCCTTGCATCCTCACCGCGCATCCTTGTTATACGGGTTGCCTGTACACGCAGGAGTACAGTCAAAACTGATAGCAAGGATGCGCGACGAGGATGCAAGACCCTTCGGCGCCCATGCCGACGTCTTTCGAGCGGGGCTGACAATCGAGTGGTTCGGTATAGGCCGAAGTGGAGAGGATGCAAGGGTACCCTGGGGAAGGCTGCCCATCCTTACTACCGGTGTCGACTGCAACGGCGACTTCGTCGGGGGTGGTTTGCAAAGGGTGTGGTTAGCAACCCGCGCCGCCCAGAGGGCGGGCGAGGACCTCGACGGAGATCTCATCTCTACCGCGCCCCGGCGAGGGCTCGTCTGATCTTTGGCGCAACGTGTGGTGGCCCCCGAGTGCACATGTGCATTGCTAGTGTATTGCACGCGAGGGCCCAGCAATGCACTTGCGCACCAGAACGCATTGCACGCCCAAAATCTGAAGAGGGCCCCTGGGCAGACTGGCCTTCCCAGGCAGGCCCGCGCCGCAGACCGAACCGCCTTCCCGGGAGAGCTGTCTGGCGAGTTGTCGGCGCCTCCGCGGGGGGCCCTGCTGCCGCGCCGGGCCTGCTGGGCCCGACGTCCTATGGGGGAGACTCCACCTGCTTGAAACAGGCGCCAAAAACGGCAAAGACCTACTCTATGGAGGGGGTGGCGCGAGGGCCCGCGCCGATCGGCAAAACAGTGACTACGAAAACGATCACCAAGACGTCGCATGTCTGGGCTTGGTGCGCGGCCTCCTGTGGCCGCAGGGGGGCCGCAGCCGAGCGCGCAGCGCGCCGCGGGGGGGGGGGGGGGGGGCTCCCCGTGGGCCCGCGCCGGGAGGCCATCCTGGCGAGGGAGCGCCCCGGGAGGGCTGGCGGGGACGGGCCCCAGAGGGGGGAGGGAGCGAGAGCAGGAGCCTGTGCTCCTGCAGTCTCTGGGGGGGGGGGGGAGGGCTGGGGGGGACGGGCCCCCGGGGGGGAGGGAGCGAGAGCTCCGCGCGGGCCCCCGGAGGGTCTGTGCTCCTGCAGCTCTTGTTGCTCGCTTTCCCGGCCGCCGGCCTCCTCCCGGGCGCACAGGAGGCAGAGCGGGCGGGGCGTCCCGCTGGGTCACACACACACACACACACACACACACTGGTTGATGGGACACCCTAGCTCTGGAGTAGACCCACTAAAAGAAATGGCTACTCAACATTTGGAAACATATGCGGTGCCGCGTGTTAGTTTACAGCATCAAGCGGCAGCGTTGAAAAATGATCAGTGGCAGCCCCAGCGGCACACCCGTGATCAGTAGCAGCCCCGGCGCCCCGCTGGGTCATAGAGGAGGGGATAGCTCGGGGGTGGCTGGCTCGGGGTGGTGGCGGGACGGTGCCATGAGCGCGGGCGCTGTGGTCAATCCCCTGGGGGAAAGAAAACACAGCCAACTGTGTGTGGGAGCAGGGCGGGGGCCCGCCTCCTCGAAGAACCAGAGCGGGGCCGCCCCTGGTCGCGTCCATGGCGCAACCTTGCCTTAGGGGAACGCTTGCCTTAGGGGGCTTGCAGGGGTCCGGTAATCTGTTGCTGGGAAGAGCCAGCAATCTCCCGCGGCAGACGACAGGACACCGAAGGAGCAAACGCCAGGCGCGTAGAAGCCTGGAATCGGCGGCACCTCGCTGATAGATCGGCGGTATCAGGCGAGCCCAGAGTCGAATCGGTAAAACGGATCGGCGGCCGAACTGAATCGGATCGGGGGAGATCGGCAGCCGAGTCGGGAGAAGTCGAATCGGCAGAAAGCGGCAGGCCTGGTAAGGTCTCCACTGGAAAACGCAAACTCAAATCGGAATCCGCTGTCGAATCGAACCGGAATCGATCGAAATCGAATCGAGTCGGAGGAGCCGAAATGAGCCATGGGATAGGCCCACGGCAGCGAATCTGCACGCTCCTGGACGGGGTGGGCTATCAGGCCCCTATCGGCGATCAGTGGGCGACGGGGGCCGATGCACCCTCCTCAGCCGATCGCCCCTGACGCTGCCCCTGTCGACGGGGAGCTTAGCAAAGCGGCTACACGCAATGAAGAGCGGCCCTAGGCAAGAGCGCCCTCTGGTGCGC